GGAAAGAAGGAAGTTTGTAATGAGGGTGGTGAGGGTGCCCAGAGCAGCTGGGGCTGCCCCTGGATCCCTGGCAGTGTCCAAGGCCAGGTTGGACACTGGGGGTGGGAGCAGCTTGGGACAGTGGGAGGTGTCCCTGCCATGGCAGGGGTGGGATGGGATTTAAGGTCCTTTCAGCCCAAACCATTCCATGATTCCATTATAAAAACCACAAGTGTTCCCTTTCTCTCCATCCCACGCGCAGCCGGGTGAATCCCGTTCCCGCAGCAGGGCTCGCTCCCGGCCGCTCTGCCCAGCAGGGATCAATCCACGATTTCCCAAGGCGGAGCTGCCCCTCCTTGCGGGGATGGGCCAAACGCAGGCAGCGCCCTTATCTGCCCCGGGAGAACGGCCTCGGTCCCTCTCTGCCACCGGCACTTTGCCCCGGGGCGCCGCCGGTCCCCGCGGTGGCACCGGGATAAGGGCGGCTCCCCGCGACCCGGCCACCGAGGCGCTCCCCTCCCGACTCCCGCACGTCCTCCTCCTCATCGCACGCAGTGCTCCCTTCTGAAAAGCCGGCACAGAGAGGCTGAAGGGCGTTCGGGAAGGGAGATCCTGCGCACGGAGGGATGGAGGGGCCGCACGGAGCTGGAAGGGGGTCCCAACCCAGGGGCTGGAGCTGCTGGGGTCGAACTGGGGAACCAGCCCCTGATCCCGGGCCCAGGGGAATGGTGAGGAAGGACAGCCAGGTCCTCCTCTCACAAGGGAGCATGAGACAGGTGAAGCCCCGAATTACAGAGACTTCAGCTAAAAGGCAAGAAAGGCACCAAATTTTCAGGAAATCTGGATCAGGTTGGGATCAACTCCCACTTCTCAGATCACCCCAGGCACAGTCAGAGGCAGCCCCAGCACCAAATCTTGAGGAAATCTGAATCAGGTTAGGATCAGCTCCCACTCCCCAAACCACCCCAGGCACAGCCCCAGCCTGCCCCCAGCATCCCCACAGCCACCCTCACCCAAGGGACCCCCAAGAGACCCCACTGAGGTCCCACCCAGGAGGGAGGGCTGGGGAAGGGGCCAGGCCCGGGCTGGGGATCCCTGGCCCGGCTTTCCTCCTGCAGCAGCTCTTCCCTCCCTGCTGCCTCCCCAAACCCCCCCAGCCCCCCCGGAGCACCCACCTCTCTCGGGGCCGTGGTGGACATCCCCAGTCCGCTCTGGCTCTGCCTCGCTGGGCCGAGGCCACCCCGGGCTTGTGCCGGGAGCTCGCCGGGCTCGCTGCGGCCGGGGGGACGCCCCGCTCGCCTGTCCCCGAGCCCGGCACACAAAGGTCTGCAAAGCTGCCGGAGCAGCCCCGCGCCTCCCCCGCTCCCCCACCGAAACCCAAAACCACCTATTTTTGTCTTTTCCTTTCTCCTCCTCGGGAGGTTTCCAGCCATCAAATGCTTCCCGGGAGCCCTTCAAAGGAAAAGCGGCCGCCCCGTCCCATCCACTTGCTAAACCAGTCTGAGCAGTGCCGGGAGGGCGGGCGGGAGAGGCCCCGGCACCCCCGGCAGGGACAGGGACAAGGAGCCGTCCGCAGGGACCGCGGGGATGCCAGAGCCAGGGCACCGCCACCCCCCTGCCCCCCCGGGACACGGGGATGCCACAGCCGGCAGGACCCCCCGGCAGGCTGCAGAGCCCCTCGCAGGCACTGCTGGTTCAGCAGGGAAGCAGTTTGGGGATTGCTAAATTCTTCTCCCAGCCATGGAAAAGTGCAGGCAGGTGATGGGGAAAGAGCCCAGAGGAGATGGGGAGGCCCCCAGTATCCCCAGTGGGGGAGCACTGGGAGGCACCACAGCCCCCCGCAGGGAGATGGAGCTCCGGGCATTCCTGGGAGAGGAGGAGGGAGGTGAGGAAGCAGAAGGGCCTCAGGCTGAGGTGAGTTGCCAGGACAAAATTTCAGGGTGGGAGGAAGGGGGTGGTATCAGCCATTCTTCCCTCCAAAAGCCTGCCTTGGACCTCTGCCAAGCCTGGGAAACAATCGGGAGGGTTTTCTGGGCTCCCACCAAGCACAGCCCCAGGCACTGGAGAATTCCTAGGGGACCGGGAGCTGGATGTGCCCCTCGTGCCACAAAGTCTGGCAGCCACTGCCAGGAGGCTTTGCTGAAGCTCAGGGACCACCTGTGCCCAGAATGGGGGTGGCACAGCCCTCCCTGGGGTTCACCTTGCCCTTGCACATGCTGCAGGACAGACCCAGGTGACGCGGATGGGGCAGGTCAGGGTGAGAGCCAGGGCGGCCCGTGGCTGTGGAAAGAGCTCGACAGCCCCAGCACAGCACAGGGAGCAGCTGGAGGCCCCTGGCTGAGCTTAAACCGGCCCAGGGATGTCGGTGGGGATCTCAAATGGGGCTGCTCAGAGCAATTAAAAGCCATCAGGGCCTCACCCAGGAGAGGGAGCTGGGAGGAAGCACAGCCTGGAGCCCCTGGGATGGCGATGGGTTGGCACCTGCTCCTGTGTGGCAGGACTCGACATCTTCTCCAGCCACAGGCTGATGCCCACACACCGCTGTCCCTTTGTCACGGGCGTTTGACACAGGACCCTGTGTGACCCCCGAACTCCTGCAGCTCCTCCCGAGACCTGGGGGCTGTCCCCCTGTTCCCACTGCCCAACCCAGCCTGTGCCAACCTGTCCCTGCCAAGGGCACTCAGAGCGCAGAAGCTGCAGCCGCAGTCCGAGCAGCGGAAGGGTTTGATGCCCCCCGTGCTTGTGGAACTTTCCCACGGGCATTTTTAGGGCTTCTCACCCGTGCCAGGGGAGCACCGAGGGATCAGCGCTGCCACGGCGGCCCCCAGGGAAATTCCCAAAGGACGGGAATCCCTGGGCTCCTCCTCCAGCCGTCGCCCAGCGCGGGCCGCTGGCGCCACCGGGTGCCCGAGCGCCGCCACCGGGCCAGAGCAGCGCGGCCCGGGCGGCTCGGGCTGCGAGCAGCGCCCCGGCAGCCCCAGCCGCACACACGGACTGCGGGCGCTGGGGTGGGGCACCCCCGGCCAGCCTGGGGAATGAAGGACAGCAGGGTCCCCCGAGCATGGCTTTGCCTACCAGCACCCCAAAAAGGTGCCACAGAGCCCAAGTGTCCCAAAGTGCCACCCTGAACCTTGACAAAGGGTGACAGCACCCCCAAAGAGCGCCCTGTCCCCCTAAAGCGCACCTCCCGAGAGCCCCCAGAGGAAACCCCCCAGGCCTGACACACACTGCCAGCACCCTGTGCTCCCCCCAAGGGACCCCCGTGTCTGGGTGGGGCTGCCAGCACCCCCAGTGCCACCCCTGAGGGTGCCCACAGGTCCGTGCCGGGTCCCCCACGCGTGCCCCGGGACCCCACGCGGGGTGCGGTAGGGTCGGGGGTCCCGCTTGTCCCTGCGCTGCCCCTCGGTCCCGCTGGCCGTGCTGCGGGTGGGGCTGTGCCCGGTGTCCCCCGGGGCCGGGCTGGGCCCTTTAAGAAGCTCCACCCTCGGCCGAGCCCAGGAGGCGCCGCGGGGCTCTTCAAAAGGTGACAGAATTCCCAAATCCTCCAAAAGGAGGATTTTTTTCATTTCTGTAAGGAGTATTTTTATATTTTCTTTGTATTTTTTCTCTCCAGATTAGGACATCTTTCATGCAAAATCCCCAGAAAGCTTCAATTGAAGAATTTAGAGATTTTTTTTTCCTTAGCATTCCTTAGACTCCTACATCTGAGTTGTTCGTCAGGATGATGAAGAGAGCTGGGATGAGGCTGGAGCCCTGTGGAACCCCAGTAATGATAGGTGGCAGGCAGGTGTCACCCCACTCTGTCATGCTCTGTGCCCAAGCCAGGAGGCAGCTGCTCCCCCATCCCCTGTGTTTATCCAGCATGTTTATCCTGGACATTTTGTCCAGAAGGACCCTGGGACAGACAGGATCAAAAGCTTTGCTGGAGTCGAAGAAGATTCCATCTCCTGGCTTTCCTTGATCAGCCAGGTGGGATAGCCTGTTGCAGAAGGAAATCAGGCTGGACAAGCAGGACTTTCCCCTCATGGAGCTGTGACCAGTAACTGTGTTATCCTCCAGGTGTTTTCCAATACTTCCCAGAATTATCTTTTCCATGACTTTACTGGGCACTGAAGTGAGAGTGACAGGCTGTGGGTCGCAGGGTCCTCCTTCTTGCCCTTCTGGAAAATCAGGACAACAGTCCCCAGTTTCCAGCCAGCTGGAACCTCCTGGATTCCCAAGACCATTCAAAATCCTCAAGAGTGGCTTTGTGATGGCATCAGCCAACTCTTTGGAGGATTCTCGGGTGAATCCCACCAGGTCCCATAGGGATTTGGAGGGATCCAGCTGGAGCAGGAGATCCTGCACAAGTTCATTCAAGATCGTTCCTGCAGTCCTGCTTACCCAGCTCAGGGCACTGGGAGCCCCTTGGTCCATCCTCTGGACAGAGAATGCATTGAACAGCTCTGCCTAGTCCCTGTCCCCTTTGGGAGGTGACATCCTCACCCTGACCAGGCCAATCCACGGTAGTTCTACCATGCTGCTCACCAGTAATAGATTTGAGCAAACATTCCCACCTGGCAGCTTTCCAGGCACTCTGCCCCAGGCCTGCAGCTCAGGAGGGGTGGCTGTGGCAGGGACAGGCCCCAGCACTTCACCCATGCCCAAGCAGACTCTCCCTCAGGCCACGGGGGTCACGGACCACCTCAGGCCAGGGACAAGCTCTGCCCATGGCACACCCTGGCTGGCAGATAGAAAGCTGAGGGAAAGCACTTTGAGTTGTTTTCAGGTCCCTGAAGTGCTCCCCCAGCTCCTCCTCACACCAGTTCCCCCATCCCCACACAGACAGGGCAAAAGCACCAACTCAGAAGGAGTCTGGGAATTCCCTGTAGGGTCTGCCCTGGGTATGGGAGGTGTCATGGTCCCCATCACCCTTCCCACCATCCAACAGCTCAGAGCATCCAACCCCAAATCCTGACACCCTCCCAGCAACCAGGGGAGTTGGCTGAGAGGGATGAAGAAACACTCCTCAAAAACCATGATTAAAAAGCAAAGCGTGTGGCCACAGCCGCTGGTTTAACTTAGAAACATTTCAAGTGGCCCAGAGTCTTTCAAAAAACCCGAGAGCTGCTGGCCCTCATCCCCCCCACCCTGTCCCACCCCCTTGTAGAATTCCATAAAATAAAAGTTCCATGTTGCACAAAGTTTTCCCTTTGTGTGGTGCTGATGGTGTTTGTGGGTCACTGTTGGGTTGTGTTTTCCCCCTTCTTGATTCCTCTTTTCCTCCTGGCTCTCCGTGCACCCAGCACTTCCCATGAAGCCCAGCATGTGCTGAGGGACACACAGAGAGGTGATGTCCCTTCTCCTGCTGGGACAGTCTGGGGATAGAGCAGGAATGGCCATCAGCTCCTCCATCGCCCCTCAGCTGCCCCGTCCTTGCCACGGTTCCCGGGCACTGGGAGGGGCAGGGGACAGGGAGCACACTGGGGACAACAACGGGCAGGAGGCTGAAGAGCCTGAGGCAGCTGCTGGGTGAATTCCAGGTGATGAGTCAAGGAGCCTCCAGGCGAGGACAAACCCAGGAATAAAACCAGCTAGGAACAAGAAGGGGGCAGCAGTCCAGAATCCATTGTTTGCTGTCCCGTGCCGTGCCGGCGGAGCTCCTGCAGCGAGCACGGCTCGGCCCCGGCGCTCCCGCAGTCCCGCCCCGCCCCGCAGGAGCCGCGGGGTGTGGATGGGTGGAGGGAGGGAGGCGCCGCCGGCTCCCGGCGCGGCGGGCGCCGCTCACGATGCTCACATCATGACGTGCCGCCGGCGGTGCAGGGCCAGGTGGTCGGAGCGGGAGAAGCTGCGGTCGCAGTCCGAGCAGCGGAAGGGTTTGATGCCCGTGTGCTTGCGGAAGTGCCGGGTCAGCTCGTCCGAGCGGGCGAACTTCCAGGTGCAGCCTTCCCACGTGCATTTGTAGGGCTTCTCGCCTGTGCCAGGGGAGCACCGAGCGGTCAGCGCTGCCGCAACGAGCCCCCAAAGCCCTCACGGAAATTCCAAACGGGGAATCCCACACCACCTCCACACCCAGCACTCCCAAAGGGCCACAGCACCATCACACGGGAGATCCAGGACACCAATCCCACCCCCTACCTGTGTGTATCCTCCGGTGGGCTTTGAGGTGGGAGCTTTTGGTGTAGACCTTATTGCAGCCCTCGAAGTCGCACTGGTGGATGCGCCGCTTCTTCAGGTCCGGGGAATCGGCTCTGGGGCCCCGCACGGCCGGCCTGCGGGAGCAGGGAGAGCTGGAGCCATGGCCCCGGGGCTCACGGGGGGGCTCAGGAGGATAAAGGGTGGGGAGGCACAGCAGGGGGAGACTCACTCTCTCTGCAGGTCCTGGAAAGGTGCTGGGCCGCTCTCAGAGGCGCTGTCCTCGCTGTCGCTGTTCATGTCCATGGGGTACACGGAGCCAGGGTCCATTTTCACTGGAGGGGTCCGGGAAAGGAAAGCTTTAGGGCACAAAGCGGCAAGGGGTGAGCACAGAACAGAGACATCCCCAAAACTCCCACCCCACATCAGGGGTGCAGCGTTCTGCCTGCCCCTGCAGTGCTCCAAGCACCGCCCGTCCCTACAGAAAATCAAATCCAAGTGGGTAGATAGAGAACCCCCAAAGGGAGGGAACAACTTGGGGGCACCACTTTTGGCTGCCTGCTCCTGCCCAGAGCAGGGCAGATCCAGGTCCCCCACCCCGGATCAGGTGGGAAGCTGGGAATGTCCCGGGAAAGAGGACTGTGGGGGGCACAGGGAGCAGCTGAGTTGAAACCAGAGCTGCTGGCATGGCAGCAGGCAGCCAGTGGGAAGGGCAGGGCAGGCTGCCAGCAGCAGGATGGGTGGAGAACAGGCAGTGCCATGCCCTGTGTGTCCCTGCCCTCCCCATGTCCCCTGGGGCGCAGAGGCTGGGGGCTGAGGGCCTTTGTATGAGAGTAGCACATGGCGCTGGCAGGGACACCCCACGGTGAAAAACGAGGTTCCCTTCGAGGGTGCCCCTCCAGGAGGCAGGGCAGACACTCTCCACCCCCCAGATTCCAGGGTTGCCCCCAAGTGCCCTTACCAGACCCAGCGTTCTTGCCGTCCCCCCCGATGAGGGGCACGGTAATGGCGGTGACGCCGTCCGTGGGCACCGTGGTGTAGACGACGGGGAGGGACTGCACCACCACGGGGATGGTCTGCAGGTTGCCCATCTTGCTGGGCAGGTTGACGGAGGGGATGGTGTGGATGACGTGGAGGATCTGCTGCCCGCCGCTGCCCTGCGTGGAGGCCAGGATGGAGCCGGGTGAGAGGACAGCCGGGATGGCCGAGGTGGAGCTGAGACCGGAGGGCGGGATGGACACGGTGCTGGGAGCGGGAAGCGGGGGAGCCACCAGCATGGGGGAAGACTGGACCGAGGTGGGAGGCGGTGGCGGCGGGGCCGAGGCCGGAGCCACCTTGGATTTATTGAGGGAGAGATCGACGGGCTCGGCCTGGGGCTGGCTGCAGTCGCTGGCCAGCAGCTCCTCGGGGGGCTCCGTCTTGATGTCGGCCAGCAGCACCGGGGGGTCGAGGGGGCCCTCAGCCAGCAGCGCCGACGAGCTCATGGCGGGCGTCGCCTTCCCCTGGCCCTGCAAGAGACCCGCAGTCCGTGAGGAGCCAGGGAAACTGAGGCACGGGGCGGGGGCGAAGAGGATCTTTTAACGGGCTCCCACCAACCAACCGACTGGGGCGGCGCCTCTGGGCGGCTCCGCCGGGGCGTGGGGCCACCCGGGGGTCGCCGGGCCGGGCATGGCGGGGCCCGCCCGTGCCCTGGGGCGGGGCCGGGCCCGCCCGGCCCTCTCGGACCCGCCCGGCCCTCACGGGCCCGCCCGGCCCCTCACGGCGGCGGCGGCGGCGCGCGCCGAGGGCGGGAACCGCAGGCCCCGCCCCCCCGCGCGCGCCTTTGTGCCGGGCTGCCGGGGGCGTGTCCGCGCGCGGGGCGGGGCCGGCCCCGCCCCGCTCCTTCCCCCCGCGCCTTAAAGGGGCCGCGCCCCCCCCGGCCCGCGCGCCCCCGCCCGGGGTCACTCACGCACTGACCCGCGGGGCTCCCACGCGTGTCCGCCGCGCTCGCAGCCCCCTCCCGCCGCCCGCAGCACCATCTCCCGCGCCGCGCCGGCCGAGGTGCGAACGGCCCCGCGGCTCCACCTGGGCTCGGCCGCGGGTGGAGCTTCTTAAAGGGCCCGGCCCGGCCCCCGCGGGAGGCACCGGGCACGGCCCCACCCGCGGCACGGCCGGCGCTGCGCCCCCGCGGGACCGCGACACAACCGAGGGACAAGCGGGAACCCCAGCCCCACCGCACCCCGCGCTGGGTCCCGGGGCACGCGTGGGGACAGCCGGTACGGGGAAAGCCCTGGCCGAACGAGCTCCTCGTCGCCCCCCGCGCTGCCCCGCGACCGCCCGGCGCTGCCCCGGGCCCCCCGCACGTACCTGCCCACGCAGGGACCGTCCCCGCCCGCGGAGCCCCCACGCACCGGCCTCGCGCGGCGGCCCCGCCCCGCCACACCCAGCGCCGCGCCCCGCGCACACGGCCCGGCCCCGCCCGGGGGGGGCGGCGGCTACAGCGCACCCCCGGCACCGGCACCGAGCCCACGGCACCGGCACCGAGCCCACCCGGTACCGACACAGGGTCCTCGGCACCGGCACCGAACCCTCCCCATACAGGCACCGAGCCCACGGCACCGGCACCGAGCCCACCCGGTACCGGCACCGAACCCCCCCGGCACCGGCACCGAGCCCACGGCACCGGCACCGAGCCCACCCGGTACCGACACAGGGTCCTCGGCACCGGCACCGAACTCTCCCCATACAGGCACCGAACCCCCCCGGCACCGGCACCGAGCCCACGGCACCGGCACCGAGCCTACCCACCACGGCACAGGGTTCTCGGCACCGCTACTGAACCCTCCCCATACAGGCACCGAACCCCCAGCACCGAACCCCCCCCCGGCACCGGCACCGAGCCCACCCGGTACCGGCACCGAGCCCACCCACCACGGCACAGGGTCCTCGGCACCGGCACCGATCCCTCCCCATACAGGCACCGAATCCCCCCGGCACCGGCACGGAGTGCAAGGCACCGGCGCCGAACCCTCCCGATACCGGCGCCGAGCCCAAGGCACCGGCACCGAACCACGCTCACACGCGGAGCCCCGTAAAACCGTGTCCCCCCACAGCACCTTCACACTCTTCCCTGATATCTTGGGGGATATCAGGGCATATATCCCCCAAGAACCGCCCCCCCTCCCACAGCCAGGGACCCCCCAACACACGCAACGAGCCACGGAACCCCCAAGCACAGCCCCCCACGAATCACCCCCAGATACAGCCGGGAGCCCCCCCAAACACACCCCAAAAAGAGCCAGAGACATCCCCCCTCCTCAGAACCCACCTCTTCACCTGGGGACCCCCCGACACACAAAGCCCCTCTAAGGGAGGTACATACGGTACCCCCCAAGCACCCCCAAACAGAGACAGAGACCCCTCCCAGTACCCACAGATTAGGGGGATCCCCCCAGCACAAACAATCAGCCGGGGTCCCCCACCAAACACCTCCATAAGCAGCCAGGGACCCCCAAAACACCCCCTCACACACTCACAAACTACCAGCGCCCCCAAAAACCTCCACTCTCAGGCAGGGACCCCCATAGAACCCCCCCAAATCCAGGGACCCCCAAAACACGCCCCAACATTGAGCGACACACATCAAACACCCCTCGCTCAGTCAGGGACCCCCTCCAACACATCCCCAGCTCCTCAAAGCACCCCCTCCAGCCCGATCCCCCCAAAAACACACCGGGGGACACCCCCAGACAGACACCCAGCTGTGCCCCGCACCTGGGGACTCAATGTCCCCCCAGAGCCCCCCAGGAGCGGCCCCTCACAGCCGGGGGGTCCCCACAAACAGGCTCATTGTGGGGGGGAGGAATGGGGGCACAAAAGGGATGCCCCGTCCTCCCTTGGGGACCCTCCCCTACCCAAATTTGGGGGCCCCTTGTAGCCCAAAGCCCCGCGGGCGCAGGGGGTGCGGGATGGGGCAGCTAAGTGGGTGGGGGGAGCTCGGTGCCTCCCAAATTCCACCACTGCTGACCCCCCCACCCCTTTATGGGTGAACTGAATTCCTCTGTCCTCAGCCTGGTGCACCCCAAAACCAGCCAGGGGTGCGGGCTGGGGGCTCGGGGTGCCCCCCTTCAAACCCACATACGTGGGGGTGCTGTGCACCCCTCCCGACACTTTCTGTCCCCCACACCCCGGGAGTAATTAGCGTTAGTGCCCCCCCTTTTTGGCCCTAAACAGCTTAAGGAGGCATTTCGGGTGACCTTGGGCGAGGGGGGAGTAGCGTGGGAAACCGCCTCCCACAGCCCCCCACCCCCGCTTTGTCCCCTCCGTGTCCCCACCCCCTCCCCCCGCCGCGCGTCCCCCACCCGTGGGCGTGGGGGGGTCACACCCCGCCGCCGCCGCCACACCCCCCCGTGGAATTTCCTCCGCGCTCCACCCTCCGCCGGGGCCGCTCGGGACACGGCGGGGGGGCACGGAGAGCACACCGAGGGGGGACCCCCGGGGAGGGAGGGGTGGGCAGGAGGGGCCCGGCGCGCAAACGGGGTCTGGCCCTTTAAGAGCAAAGGGCGTGGGAGGGGGAGGGAAGGGCGGGGCCGCCCGCGGTGACCTCCCAGCCGCGGGGGGGCGCCC